CATGTTGCAAAGATGAATCCCCATAAAAGAAATTGTATAACAATATGATAAATATTCAAGTTTTTAAAACTTGGGAGAAAATTAATAAAAACAAGACAAATAAGTATAAATGTTTAAAAGATAAAATTTTCTTAGAAATCAAAATTTACAAATGTAAATCATTAAAAATTCGTCATTAAAGCTTCTTGATAAATCTAAGATAAGAATCAGTGTCTTTCTTATATTAACCATTCACATAGTGTTCTAAGGCAAGACACCCTTTAGTCCCTATAAGTTCCTGATACCCTTCCAGTTTATGTCAGGTCTCCCTTATTAGGAAGACTAATACAATGAATAGATCAATTTATAACATTATAAGACAAATTCTAATTGTAATCATTCAAAAGTTCCAGTAATCTCCAGAACTGCACTTAATTAGCCACTATTTATAAAGGCTTTTCAGAATTACCTAATTCCATTTTTTTTCCCTCAAAAGTCTAAAAAAAGCTCTTCCTCATTATTTAAGCAACCCTGCTTGAGCAATCCTTTCTCTCCCACTTTTATTTCTCCCAATTTATAAAGTACTCCTTTATCATTACTGTACTTACTCTCCTTGAGTTTTACTTTATAAACGCATGCTTTATGTTCTATCAATAGTTATATCGATATCTTCAAACTGGTTTGATAAAAACAAAAATTGTTATGTACAAGAAGCAGAAGCATATGGGTTGTTATTTTCTCTTATAGGAGGAAGAATCTAGGTTATATAGCACAGATAAATACTTGTTACTGGATTGTACAATCATAATAAAGTCCTAGTCAAATTGCTTGTAATTTTTTTTTATTTTTTCTCTACCTACATGTGTTCTTTTTTTTAAAAATACCATTTGGAAAGAGACAGCTAATAAAACCATCACAGAAAGAAATTTAACAAAGGCCTAAAAAATTTTTGTGGGTTTATTAAATAAAATTAAATATAATTCTAAATAAACAGATGAAAGCTGATATGAGAATGTAAAGGGGAAAAAAGAGAAGGAGAAAAGAAGGAAACTTATTAATGACAAATTTCTGGCCTGAACAGAGAATAAGGCACAGAAAATTCTTTCAGCTCCCTAATTATTTTCTAGGAAAGTTTAAGCAATAGCATATCACTTAATCTCAAACACTGTTTCTAATCATCAGTAACTATGCATTACTACAAAAGTGAGGATAGCGTACTGTTAAGGAGTAAAAGGTCTGTGGTCAGTGAATTTGAATTAGAAGACTGCCATTTACTAGCTCTATGACCACAAAACTTCATCTATAGAAATAGGGTGATAAAACCATATATTTCATGAGGTTGTTATAAAAATTAAATGAGATAATGCATGTCAATTGCTTAGCACAATTTCTTGATACTTAGAAAATGTATTTAAACATTAGTTGATTACTACTATGTCCACTGTGAGTAAACTATTTTGTTCATACCTCATGAAGTAACAATCATATCATTCCTCTATTTGTAACTTCACTGGCTTCTGCCTGCCTTTAGAATTATCTCTAAACTCCTTGACATAACTTATAAGGTACTGCAATAATCTTCTCTCTTCATTATTTCTCTTCTACTCTAAACCAAGCTCCATTAAGCTTCAGCTCTTCAAACATGCCATGCCTACCTTGCTTGCCTCCAAGTCTTTCCATATGAAGTTTATTTTGCATGCAACATTCTTTCCCCTCTCTTCCTTCCTTCAACGTATATACATCCCCTCTTTTTTGAGAGCCCCTCCCTGACATGTTGACTAGTCTAGGCAACCAACTTAACGTGCATGGAAATATCTTTCAACCAGGATGCATCAAGGCTGCAAAGCCAACATGCTGAGACTGCCCTGTCAGAAGGATAAAAAGGGCCTGGGTCTGCTTATCTCCAAATTATGGGGCCCAGCAAGAATAACACCCCTTTTTATTATAAAATCTTTTATTACAAGATCATAAGCATGTAATTCTGTAACACAACAATATCATACTCAAGCACACCGTATGACATTTTAGGTGAAATGTTCAAATTAAACTAGAGATTATACACCCATATCGTTACCTTACAAACCACACTCAACCAGGCTTTACTTCTGCTAGACCCTGCATTTGTTGTATTAGCAGTAAATGTATTGAATACTTATGTGTAAACCAGATGTTGACAAGCTACAACCCTTGGGCCAAATCTAGATAATTGTCTATTTTTGTAAGTAGGTTTTATTGAAACACAGCCATGCTGTTCATTTAGTATTATCTATGGCTGCTTTTCTGATAAAAGGGCAGAGTTCAATAGCTGCAACAGAGACATGTGGCCCGGGAAGCCTAAATTAGTTACCATCTCACCCTTTAGAAAAAACTTTGCTGTCCCTGGTTTAAGCTACTGTTAGTTAAGTTTTGTCACTTATGGCCAAAACATTCTAACCTCCATGATGTTACTGTAGATACTTATACCTCTCCCATTCTATATATGTTTATTTATTCCACCTTGATGAAATCCCCAAGTGGGACTGACCTACCATTATGTCCATATTACCAAACAGTAGTTGACAAATAGAAGACATTTAAATATTGTTGACTGAACAAGTGAACAAATCAATGAATGAATGAATGAGCATATGTGATCAATAACCAATAAATATGTATAAATAACTAACATGTACATTAGGTGCTCTGAGTGATACAAGATGTAAGCCTGTGAACCGAAATGTCGCCAGTTCAATTCCCAGTCAGAGCATATGCCTGGTCCCCAGTTGGGGGAGTGCAAGAGGCAACCGATTGATGTATCTCTTGCACATCAATGTTTCTCTCCCTTTCTTTCTCTCTCCCTTCCCCTCTCTCTAAAAATAAGTAAAATCTCTAAAAAAAGAATTAAGACACATTCTCTACCCTGAATGGCTTAAAAATCAGGCTTAAGAAATAAACATATAAACTTTAAAAAAGATAAATTAGTTTTGGAGCAAAGCAGGGTGCATCTATACATATATAAATACTACTATATTAAATGTATACACTGACCCCCTCAAAAAAAGAATCCTGATTTCACATCATACCAAAAGGTACGAACTGTGTGCTTTCAACACTAACCAGGAGAGAGGGCACCCTGACATAGCACCACCCTGTACTGTGGGGTCTACTAAAATCATGGAGATGATCGAATCAGGCTACTCATAGCTTTTGGCATTGGTGCTTGTTTTGACCTTGTTCACTCCCTTTGCTAAGATGCAAGAAATAATGACAAATACAACATTATCATCTTGTGAACCTGTTATTCTGGAATCAGTCCCTAGAACACAATCAACTCTGAGTGAGAAAGTACTCTAACCTGTAAAGCTGTCTCAGAACCTCAAGACTAATGTCCCCATCACCATATGAAAACCTTTCCAGAAACCACCTGACCTCCATTTTTTATTCATGCTCTAACTTTTCTTACTGTTAAAATTTGTAAAATGATGCTTCATATAATACTAATTTTATACTGTACAAAAAAATTAAAAGTTGGTGAGATGGAAAGCAAAAATTTAATGACCACTAAAATCATAGTTATGCATCTCATAGTCATGTTGGTATCTTGTGTAAATTAAAAGGAAAAAAAGGAACAAGAAGCAAGACAGGTCCTTGACTGACATAATTTATGCATCTTTTTACTCCATTTTTTCCAGTTTCACAAACCTACTCAACACCCTCTCTTCAAATCTATCATCTTCCCAACTTTCTCCCTTTATCAATAGATTTCCCCCATGCTCTCTCTGATCCTCATACTATTCTACCAACTCTGTTTAACTCAGCCTCCCTATCCTCATAGCCAGATACCCAAACCCATCCCCTCCCCTACAACATTCAAGAATCCTTAAAATTATGAACAGGCAGAATTCAGAATTTTGCAGAATTACAACTGCTCAATTTCTATTAATGGTTGTAGGATGATCAAGAGAAAGAAAGATAGCAATGTTAATCCTCTTCCATAATCCACCATAAATTTATTATTTCAAGAAACACTTAAAAGCCAACGATCTAGGCAGGTTTATATAATATCACTGTAAATCTGGAAATAAAAAATAAACAGAGAGAACTGCAAAAACATAAGGATTAGAGAAGAGTTCCATACCCTTTAGTAAACTTAATTATTCATAGACTCAAGATCTCAAGAAACCATATCCAAAATCCTGGTAAGCCCTTCAATTTAACACTGGAATCTGATTGGTACACTAAAAATAAACACTTTTAATGGAAGTATTAAAGTGAACATATGTACGGTGTTGAAGGACTGACAAAAGAGGATAAATTCCAAAATGTTTTACTTCATAGAATAAAATACCCCAATGTCATTTACAAATAAAACAAGAAGCTGTAATTTAAGCTACTAACACCTTATTTCATTTAACAGCTTCTGATAAATAGTTATGAGTGAACTTCACCCTGCAAATGGATAGAGCTAGACTGTTTCAATAATATCAATTCCAGAAAAAATAAATTCCAGATCTTACATGCATACACTCACTCTAATGTACACATACACCCTAATATTGTCCAAGTTCCCATTTTACATTGAAAGAGGCCTAACCAACAGTAAATCACATGGTTCATTCCCTTTGTTTCATACCTTTAATCTTTTCCTTAAACATCTTTACAATACTGTAATAGACATGTTTAATCATTAAATAGTCTTCAAATTTTAAATTCATATTCATGATAAAGGCAATCAAATGTTAAAACTTTCCTAAAGAATTTTGAAAGTTTTCCTTTACTAACATACTAAGCTTTGACAGAGCCGTTTATTTTGTGTTTCTCAGATTTGTTACATAAGCATTAAATAAAAATAGGAATAGAAAACAGTAAAAACTTCAGATAACTATTTCGATTTACTCTTTCTTCTTCCTCCTTTGTATGTTCCTCTTTTTTCCATCTAAGTAACACTTCCAAGAATGAGAATTTAGTTTGAACATTGCCATGAAATCACTGAGTCATCAGTGCTTAGGATTTGTTTAATGTTCACGGAAATATCAACTTACCCACGTTTGATGTTGTGTAATTCCTTGTCCTTGCCTTTATCCTTCTCCTTCCCTCTTTTCTCCTTCTCTCTGCCTTTACATCGTTCTCTGTCCCGAGATCGACTACGGGTTCTTCTGTGACTGGACCTTTCACTGCTTCGACTATGGGAGCGTGGACGAGGTCTTGACCTGGACCTACAGTAAGTAGATTTTATTAAATAGATTTAGTGTGTATTTGGCATGAAATAATGAAATGATGAAATGAAAATTTATCACTTCTTTTCTGAGGACAAACCAAGCCTGTGTCTTGCAGGACACCTATAACTCCAATAAAAAAATTAAAACAAAACAAAACAAAAAAAGCATCCAGTCTAAAAAACCAGAAGACTCAGGACAACCACCACAAAAGAAAAATCAATGTGGGAATCTTGGAAAGGAGTCAGAGGAGGGAGCTAAAATTCTTTATGTGAAGTCTATTCAAATCTCTGGCTGAACCCTACATAGTGCATATAAATGGCAGATTCCAAACAGGTAAGGATAAAAAAAAAAGTTGAACTAAAATTTCAACTGCACCCCAAAGACAGGATTTTTACAATTTTAATTTAACTAAGTTAATTTTATGCTAACACAAACAAGTAAACAAAAAATCAATATTCTTCAGAGGAATATAATGGAATCCAGAGTAGAGTGGAACCTCAGTTCTTGAACATAATTTGTTCTGGAAGGATGTTTGAGAAGCAATTTGTTCAAAAACTGAATCATACAGTTAACTGATCATACAAGTATTAACACAAAAGGGTTGTCAGGTCGAGAACCGAAACTCTGTTCATCAACTGAACATTTTTTCTGTGAAAAACTTGGTCCAAAACTGAATTGTTTGAGATGAGAGACATTTGAGAACCGAGGTTTGACCATATTTAAAATGTGACTCCTAGATACACAAGAAAACATTAAAAATGTGACCCATTCTCAAGAAAATACATAGTCACTGGAGACTGACACTGAGAGGAACCAGATGCTGGAATTAGCAAGCAAAGATTTTAAAGTAGTAAGTGCAACTATGCTTAAATGAATATAAAGCTAATAAATCTCAGCAGAAAAACTAGAAAATGAAAAACGGAAATTCTGTAACTAAAACCATAGAATATCTGAAATTAAAATTATGCTAAATAATGTCCTGGCTGGTGTGGCTCAGTAGGTTGAGTGCCAGCTTGCAATCTGAGGGGTCACCAGTTCAATTCCCAGTCAGGGCACATGCCTGGGTTGCAGGTTAGGTACCCAATGGGGGAGGGGAGTACATGAAAGGCAACCACACATTGATGTTTTTCTCTTTCTCTTTCTCTTTCTCTCTCTCTTCCCCTCTCTCTAAAAATAAATAAATAAAATTTAAAAATAAATTTATGCTAAATAAGATTTAAAGCATATTGGTAACAACAAAGAAAAGAATCTGTGTACTTAAAAATCAATCAATTGAAATTATCCAATATGAAGAACAGAGAAGAAACTATTGCTAATAATTAAAGAAAAACATATCCTCTGGGATCTGTTTGACAATATTTAAATGTGTCAAAAGTGTTTATTTAAACCCAGAAGTAGAAAAAATAATGAGACAGAACGCAAATTTTTAAGTAGGGGTAAAAATTTCCCCAAATTTAGTGAAAGACAAATGTAGATATTCTGGAAGTTCAGTGAACTCCAAGGTAAATATGAAGACCATGACTAGTAACACTATAGTCAAAGTGATGAAACAAAGTAAAGAGAAATGTTGAAAGCACTTAGGGGAAAAAAAACAACATATTACATTTTGAACAGCAATGATGAATTACCGCTGGCTTCTCATCAGCAACAATGGAGATCAAAAGACAGTGGAACAAAATTCTTAACATAGTGAAAGAAAAAAATCAACCCAAAATTTTATAGCCAGCAAAAGTATACCTCAAAAATTAAAGTAAAATTAAGACATTTTTGAGACAAAGGAAAAGTAAAATAAAATCATCAATAGTAGGTCTGCAATTACAATAGATACTAAAGTTTTTCAAGCTAAAGAAAATGATAACAGATAAAAACTTGGATCTTTAGGATGGAATGAAGGCCTTTAGGAATGGTAAATATATGAGTAAATATTAAAAACTACTTCTCTTAAATTATTTAAAACATATAGGTATTAATACTTAAAGTAAAATTTATAATGTCTTACTGAAGGGTTATAATGAAGGTAGATATAATATATACAATCTCTATAGAATAAAGTATGGGTTAGGTAAATGGATGTATACAGTTATATGGTTTCTACATTTCATCCAAATGATGAAACAGTAACTCTAAATACACTGAATGATAAGGGCATATATGAAATCCTTACAGTAATCACTTAAAGAAAAAATGCAAATAAGTATAGTTAAAAATTTTTAAAAATGAACTAAAGAGAATTCTTAAAAATATTCATTAATCCAAAAGGACACTGGAAAGGACATACAAAAAACACCCCCAAAATGGAGGTTCACACATATAACAAATAATAAAATGGTAGCATTAAATCTAAACATAGCAATAAGTAAATTATTAACAAACTAAATACATTAAAAAACAGAGTTTGTTCCAATGAATTAAAAAGCCATACACAACTTTATGCTGTCTATGAGATATATACTTTAAATATACAGTCACAGGTTGAAAGTAAATGTCTAAAAATAGATATATCATGCAAACAGTAAACAGAGAGAGGCTGGAATGAATATATTAATATTAGATAAACTAAAAGTATCACCAGAAATATAATGGGTACTTTATGACAATCAAAGGATCAATTCATAAGTAAAAATCACACAAAATATGTTTATCTGCCCACAACAGAATTAAATTAGAATTCAGTAACAACAAAACATCTAGAAAAAAATACCAAGTATATAAAAATTAAATAATATACTTCTAAATAATTCCTGGACCAGTAAGAAATCACTAGAAAAATTAAATTTTTTAAAATTAAATAACAATGAAAATACAATGAGAGAATTTGTCAGATGCAGCCATATTTAGCAGTGAAATTCAGAGCTTTAAATGTTTACATTACAAAACAAGAAAGGTCCAAAAAATCAATTACCTATGGTTTCACGTTAAGAAGCTAGAAAAAGAAGAGCAAAATAAACACAAGGTAGGTAGAAGGAAGGTAAGAAAAATCAATGGAATAAAGAGCAATAAAGAAACCTAACAAAGCCAAAATCTGATTCTCTGAGAATATCAACAAATTTGGTAAATCATTAGCTAGATTGATCAAGCAAAAAAGAAAAGAGCAAGGACAAATTACAAAAATTAAGAATCTGTGCGATAGGAAGATCACATGAACTAGGCTTGTGTACTTAGGACGTATGTTGGTCTTGAAGAGAACTGCATGGGTTTCAGTGGTAGTAATGTTGGTGCTCCTTCATCCCCAACTGGTTCACTCAGTAAATGAAGGGCAATACGGTATCATAAAATCACAATTTTCCTTTTTAATATATGACTCTGAGAATTACAATATTTATTGCTAGGAATGTCAATATAAGGTTATTAATTTATAAAAATTAAATTTTCATTTTTTTTTTACATTTGACTACTCCCTCTCTTAATTTTGACACATGATTTCTTTCCACATAAAGTTTAAATAAACATCAAAACAAACTCATAGATGCAGACTACAGAATGGTGGTTACCAGAAGGGAAGGACGTTTGGGGGAGGACAAAGGGGATAAAAGGTACCAAATATATGGTGAAAGAAGGAGACCAGGCTTCAGGTGGTGAGCACACAACAAAGTATACAGATGTCTTATTGCATTATATATTTGTGACACCTGAAATTTACATGTTATTAACCAATGTTATCCTAATAAAATTAATTTGAAAATAAAATTTTAATTTATCATCACAATTTATTGCCCCCACAGATGTTACCGTATCCATATATAAGTAAATCTTCTATTATATATGGATATATTAAAAATTTAGCAAATTATTCTAACATTTTGAACAATAATTAGTCAGAATTTGAAGTTTTCCGATGAAAAGAAAGTAATAATAATAAAAATGAAGGGTGCCTTTTTTGTGAAAACCTCAACCACTATATATAAATTACATGTATGAGTATATACACATACAATATATTATCTTAATTTGGTTCTACATTGTTTGGGTCTAAAATACAGGGCCCAGCACAAATATTGCCCCTTTGTTTATAAAATCATAAGCATTTAATTCTGTAATATAACCATATCACACTCAAGCCCACCATATGGCATTTTAGGTGAAATGTTCAAATTAAAACTATGAATTATTACACTCATATTATTGCCCCACCGACCACACTCAAGCAGTCCTCACTTCTGCCAGACAGACCCTGTATAATTCTGGCAATTAGTTTTCACTTAACTAGTGAAAATGTACAGTAACAAAATACAAATAAGTTATATGTAGTTTAAAATCAACAACAAAACTTAAAGAGCTTTTTAAAAAAATCTTTAATATAAGCTCATTTCTCAGTGATTAGTCCTTTTTTTAAAAAAAATAAACTGTTGGACAAATGTGCAACCATTAGTAGATTCCAAACTAGATGGGTTATGGTGAAATTATGGTTTTACTATATCTTAAAAATGAGGTGTATCTTCCATTATATACCCAAAGTTACAGAAGTATTGTGTTCAACAATAAATAAATAATTCTTCATACAATGGTAACCTCACACAAATTTCTTCCTCTCTGGTCATGCTTCCTTGTCTACAAAAGCAGAGTAATAACTACCTTTCAGGGTTACTGTAAGGGTAAAATAATAGTAGCCGACTGAACTGTGAGATAGCAGGCACGTGATCTGGGAGGAGGCAGCCGCAGAGAAAGAAGTTCCTGAGTTCAGTGCTAAACTGAACGAATGAGTAAAATCTGAACAGGAGCATATGGAATGTGTTTCCCTCATACCATACCTAATCCAGTAGGAGCGGCACTGTGATTTTGACAGACCTTTAAAATCTTAAGGCTGGCACAGGACTGCTCAAGTGTCAATTTTCAATATATTTTTTCTTTTGTATATGAAGGTTAATAATAGTAATCTTGGCTAATGATGCATGTCTTCTTTATTTGAAAACCCTTAGCAGCCAAATATACGATCTTCACTAGTTTGACCTTAACAGGAAAATCACATCACCTGTCATCTAAGTCTTTGGGGAATAAAA